CCCCCCCCCCCCCCCTTTCAAAATTGTGGCTCAATTACTGATCTTTCATATTCTAGTTTGTTTGTTTTGGTGTCGCACTTATTGTTTCGGATAGCTTGTTGCTTTTCTTTGTCTAGAAATGGCCATATATATTTTGTTCGTACGCTTTTTATTTTGTATGAAATTGCCAAGAGCATTAGCTCTAGCATTCACATGGTATACCCTTTTATTTATTTTAAGGAGGGAAATGTTGGAAAAAGCTAATCGCATCTAATAATTCGAGTCATGATGGTGTTTTTAGGTTCAGGTTGTGTATAGTTGAATTGAAGAGGTCAACTTGGTTAGAGATCAATGAATAATGATCAGACGATATGTTATAGAAGGAAAAACAAAATGAACACTGTATTTCTCTAGTTTGACATTGATCTTGCACTGATTTTCTGCTGGAATGTATGGTTGTTGGGCTATAAAATGAATTCGACAGATATGACTGACTAGATGTTTTTATTTATCAAAAACTATGGAATAAAAAAAAGAAACTAATAAAGTGCCAATTTAGAAGTCAAAAGTGAGTTAAGAGCCTCGGCCCTCGGGACTTCCTAGATTCCTAGCACCCATTTTTAAGAAAATATTTATTTAAAATCCAATCAGCATTGCATTGCATATAATAGAATGAGAAGAAAAAAGTGGTGATGAGAGACAGAGAGCACGCCTAAAGATGAGAATGATAATAGTAAATCTGTGTTATTGGATTATAGAATATTACCCGATATGATGCTGTCGGAATAGAAGCTTTCTTTTGTGTTATATTGCTGCCCATGTTCGTTGCTTTTACTTTTTTTTAATTCCTTACTTCCTAGCTCCCGTACCTATATCTGTATATAGTTTTTTATTGTCATTTTCAATTTAATATATTTGAATGAGCAATTTACTTTATTTAGTTGCACAACATTGTTCTGTCACATAATTTAGTGGCTGACGGGCTGTATCAATTGACAATATAAATAAATTATTATAATTTTATTGTAAACTTTGGTATGCTTTTATTAGACAATCATTTGATTTTTGGATTGAAGCTAAAATGAATATCTCTAATTATTGCTGTTTCCCAATACTATTTCCCCTACTTGATATTTATTTCCACCGGAAGAATTTAACCGGGGTGAATTGAATACGTGATTTGACATTGTTTGTTGTTTTGTTGTATTTGGGCCAACTTGGAAATAAGTATTTTGTGGAAAGAAAAGGAGAGAAGAGGATGTACCAAAGGAGGGAAAATAAATAAATAAAACGACAGAGTTGTCTAGGGTTGTGGCGCATATTCATATTCTAGTCTAGTCCTTTGTTTCTCTGCAAAGAGAAGTGAAGAAGCAAAAGAAGGGCTTATGTTATGGAATGGGATAAGCATGTGCATATATTGAAAGCAGTGAGTTGTCCCTATTTTCCTAATGCAGTTAGCTATGAATTAACGCAAACGGTGTTGGGCCCAAGGGAACCTAATGCATCGGCTTTCTCACCACATGGACCATTCATTTTTTCCATATCAAATATCAAGACTATAAAAATATTATAAAAAAAAATGAATCTGCAGTTACTATAAGGCTAATGTGACGACCTCATGGTGAAAATAGAAAAACTAAGCTCCTTTCTGAATTATAGGTTAATTATTTATTTTATTTTATTTTATTTTTTATAAATTTTTTTACTCTATATTTTTGGATCATATAGTGTAAGAATTTATTTTATCGTAATTAATATTTTAGAGGAGTGTACCTAAAAAAGAAACTATAAATTTATTGGACTTGAAAGACTCATGAGCACCTCCTTGAACACCCAGTCCAACGAAATGGGTCATCCGCTTGCTTAGACAAGTTAGTTGGATACCATTCTCATTAGAGCTGTTAAAATGGGCTTAGCCCGGTGAGCCAACCCAGCCCACCAAGGGTTCGAGCCGGGTTGGGAAAAAAAATTAAAAATTTTAATACAGGCCAATTTTGAACCCGGCTCACCCGGGTTCAACCCGTGGTGAGCCGGGCTGACCCACCAACCCGTTAAAAAAAGATTATACTTCAGCTTTCATTTTATTGGGCCCAATTGCCCAAATGAGTATTAGGGTTTGAATTATATTTGAATTATTAGACCCAAAAGAGTATTTGAGATGATTTTGAATTAATTTGTTTACATGAGATTATTTAGATTTTATTTGATTGTATTTATAATTATTTAATTATGATTTTGGGCTTTAGTTGTATATTAAAAAAATTACATTTTTTTAAAAATTAGGTGAGCCAGGTTCAATTTTTTTTAGCTTACTAATAAATGAGCCGGGTTGGGTTGGCCCACCAAATGCTCAACCCGTGATGGACCGGGTCGGGTTACCCGTTTTGACAACTCTAATTTTCATGAGAGGATAAAATGTTTCATGGTTCGTTAAATATTTTAACAAACTGCAACAAATTACAAGACCCTATCTAGTTACATCAAATATGTAACTAGAGTTAACTTGACTACAAGTTAACTAATATTAATTACACTTAGCCAATATTAGTTTAATTTGTATCATAAGTCAACTAAACTTTATATATATTTTTCTCTCTTATGTACATGCCACTTTTGATAAAATTTGATAAATACACTTTAGTTTATCTCTTTCAAAAGTCGAAGTCTTCTTTCTTAAAGAAATTATCTACTTATGAACTTTTATCAAGAATTTTCATCTTGTGACAAAAATTTTCACTATTCTTGCTTATCTTCTTTAGAAGTGGCAAACCTCATTCTTTATCACCCACCATTTTAGAGTTTTTTTTTTAAGGAATAAGTTCATTGAAAGTGATTAAAGCACTTTAAAGCTAGTTGAAGAGATACATCTATCATCTCTAAACTAATTTCATCAAACAATACCATTTAAAAAAAACTATAACCAATTTTAAAAAATCAAACTGCATTTTTACATAAATGAATTTTAAAAATCAAATCACATTAGTAATTAAGTTTAGTGCACTGATAGACCATTTTTAAAAATATTAAATAAAATTAATTCAAAACAATTTACTTATGTCTCTCATATATCATAGTTTGGTAATTTACAATATCACATAAAATGTTTGAGTATTACTTATTATTATTATGTTTTTTATTTTTTTAAAAACTTTTTGATTGTTTTTAATTACTAAAGTAAATGTCAGATATTATTAAATCATATTTCATAATTAATTTTTTACATGACAGTTATAATTCTTCAATGTTTTTGAATTTATCTCCATAGGTTCGTTTGTGTAAATTTTTTTCTTTTAAAAAATACTTTTTGATAAAATAATTTTTTTTTGGCTTTTATGATGCTTTTGCCTACTTAATTAGTCTTTGAGTTAAATGTCTATTTAGTAAAATATTTTTAATTTATCTCTAAAAAGTACACTAATCATGACTTTGCTCACAAATTTTAAAAATAAAACCTATTTTTTCTTTTAAAAAATATTTAAAAATGGTTAAGTACTTAAAATCTGTTTGAAATTGGTTTAGTTTTGAAACTAATTCTAAACCAATTATAAACCTGCTTATGAAAGTAGGTTGATTTTGAATTGGTTAATAATGTGGTTCAAATGGCTCATAAATCGGTTTAGTTCGATAAAATGGTGTAGTGTAATTTGGTGTGATTTTTTTAAAAAACCAAACCATACATGCCTCTACTTAATATCTCAAGTCAAGTGAGTGAAAAATAAGAAAACGTTATACTAAATTATAATATAAATAATTTGTAATATTTTGTCTTTTTTTTTACTATACTATTTCTAATTATCTAATGTTATTCTTATATCAAGTTATAATGAAGAAGAAATAAAAAAAATTATAGTTTTTATGAGTTTATGTATATAGTTCACCTACTATCTAAAGTTGACAATTAATATTATTTTACACCTATAGGACGAAACTTTCGCTAAAAACATTATTTTAACAATACAGAAATCGACATCAAAAGCATCAAGTTGTCCTCGAGTCCCAAGAATAAGAATAGTAAAATTATTTAATATTAACTATTATATATAT